AGGAATACAAAGAAATACATACCTCTTAAATCTGTTTACCTGGTCTCCTGGAGTGATAGTAGGTTGTTGTCGTATTGGTGGCGTTGGGTCGTGTGAACAAACTTCACTGCTGTTCCTGCCTATGCTATGCCAGTTTTCTAGCTACAAAGCAGACTTCAGTTCCTCATGATTGTCAAGTTGGCACCCTTCTGCAACAATAAATGTAATATAAAGCAGAAAAAATATTTCAGGCAAAGAAAGGAGCTGTCTGCAGTAGCATGGTAGAAAAAAAGAAACCACATTAGATGAAATTGTTCACATGGCTGGCAGTAATGGAAATGTACAGCAGAACAGAAATGTGGAAAATGTTGGCAAAGATGGGGAAAGGAGATTACTTTTTTATTTAGTTTATTTTCAATAAATTGTAGAACTATTTAAACCAGAAATTCCAGCTAGGAAAAGTTGCAGAGTTACCTGGCATTGTGTTGGGTGATTTTTCTGAATGGGTCTCGAGCTTCAAATTCAGAGGGGAGATGATGAGATTTAGCAAATGTAGAATGTAGGCCTAGGGTATGCCTACCAAGCATCGTGCAGCCATGACTTAGGATGTGTTGCAGTACTTTAAGCTAAACTTTTCAATCTAAGATGCTTAAATTGTGCATACGATGTATTTGGCATTGGCATTAATGAGATTTTGAGCTGCTTTTACAGCTTAAAGCTACAGCATAAATGTGCATTTCCCCCAAAAAAATCTGAAATATATTTATTTATTTTAATTGGAATGGAACTAAAGAGTTTAGGTTGGGGAGGGGGAGAAAGAAGATAAATCTGATGAAGAACATCTTCATAAACACAATTGATAGAGAGAGCGCTTTGTGGAGATACTCATGTGGAGTTAAAGGCTTTTTTGAGTGAGACATAGGAGGGAGGGGATCAAAACAGACATCTTTTCAACGTGCTTTAGAGCATCCCCTGGTCAATACATTTCGAGTTAGACATTTAAGATTTCTGTCCAACAAAGTTGGCTGCATACCCTTGTTCAGTAAAACAGCTAAGCGTATGTGGAATTTTAAGAACATGCTCATGTGATGTCTGTATAGGAATGTTTTCTTAAGGCTAGGAACTAATTTTATACTTCAGAAAATTTACTTTAAAAATCATAGCCAAAATAATTACCACTAGCTATTAGTTTATTTGGGAGGATTAGTTTTGTGCAACTGTCTGAAACATCAAGAAATCTTTAGCTTGAGCAGCTGAAGGTCATGTCCATGACAGTAACTTTACAGGGATTTTTAAATGTAATTTTTCTGGTTTGCTTTTTATTTTTTAATTTTTTTTTTCTTTTTAAAGAAACTTGAGAATAAAAGTAATTGTTTGAATAAGCTGTCTGCTGTAACAGTCCTTTAAGAAGTTCTTAACTGATTATTATGTTGACTAATTTAACAAGCTCAGAGCTGCTCGAACGAGTGCTAGCACTTAGTATGTCCTTCAAGTTCAGTGTTTCTATACAAATATTTTGAGTTCTGGGAAAGATGAATGCTTGCTGTTTGTGCAAGCGTCAGTCTTTTTAGTGTTAAATGGTATACTTTCTAACCATGAGAACAATGATGTTATAAAGCTTCATAAAGACTTAGAATTCAAAGTACAGGATCAAGAAAACTCCAAACTATTACGAAGGAGATTGATTATACACAAAAAAGGCTTTATAATGTGACATATGAAATATCAGGGAGCCAGACTGAAGGAGTCCAGCAGTTTCTTTTCAGTGTTATGTACCTATTCTAGAAGGGATAGCAGAGCTTTCTGATAAAAATGGCCAAAATCAGTCCCATTAGATACTGGATATTCTGTTAATATTAACTACTCAAATGACTTTTCAGACAAAGATGTGGCTGTGGGTTATGATGTATTAACTTCAGCTGGGCTTAATTCAGAACCATTAGCTTTGGTGGTAGTGGCTGACATTGAGCTAGACCGCAGCTTGCATCACTTGTCCAGTACCTACCACTGAGTTTGTAATGGACAGCTGAAAACAAAAATCTAAATAAAATTATAGTAGTGATCTCACGAGGAGAATGTATATTGCTGAAAGAAGGCGGGGAGAAGCTTTTCTTTTGCACGTGCTGTAAACACAAAATCAGATGTATAATGTTGCATAAAAACGAAACTCTAGAGCCATAAGCTTTATGAGTAACTTTATAAAACAAATGCATGTCTTCATCATTTTTTTGAAGCCTCTTATGTGGCTTTTTAGATCATTCCATACATCTTGTCTCCTTTTGCTTTTAAAAAATTTAAAGATAATTTCTAAACCAGTCTTGTTATTTAGTATGCATACACATACACTTTGAGGTTTTCATGCTTCTAGCTGAATTTAATCACAAAATGTCCCACCTTTGCCTATTTTTAAAAAAGTTTCTGTCTCAAGTAGGAGCTACTTCCCTATTATATTTCAGTTTTGCAACCCAAATTACTCAGGCTTTAGGCCCTGACAGGATAGATTTTTTTTAAAAGGAGAAAATTGTTTTTATTGTTGTCAATTGTTTTTACATTCTTCTTTTTAACAAAAATCAATTAACATGCTTTTGTTCAAATCTTTTAGATAATAGCAATCACAAAGGTGGAGATGAGAACTGAAGAAGTTTTAGTCTTGAAAGTAAAAGTTTAGGGAAGTCAAAAAGGCCTGTTGTAATGAAAAGTTTTGGATGAACTTAGCTGGTGCTGTCCTGATGCATTCCAGTTTATAGCAGCTGATGTACTTTTATATATGTATGCAAAAACTTTTTGAAATAACTTTAATTGCATACTGAAAAGAAAGAAAATCCTGTCTTTTCAATATAGGTTGTTATCAGAATACCAGATGTGGGAACTATCAAATACAAGATTCATTTGTTCATTTTGTTTCAATGAAAAAAATTGAAATTATGTTTATTAAAATACTTCATCCTACATTTACAGTCCAAGTTGATAGGAAGTGAAATAACAATTTTTTTTAACCTCTTCCTGATTTTCTAGCTCAAATAGATAGGTTATCAGAAACCACAGCTGTTTACAAATGGGTTACTAAGGGTTTCCTAATGCAGGAGAGGAGAAGTAGGAAGGAAGAAAAGAACTGCCTGAGAGCAGAAGCTCACATAAGGAATAGAGGCGGAGCTGCAATAAAATCTAAACAGAATTCTACTGTGCCAGGAGCTGGAAATAACAAATACCTTGGGTTACAACCTCTTTAATTACATTTCTGAACAGAGGCTTAGTAAACCTCTACACTGGTGTATCTGGATGCTGAGCTGTTGTAAGCTCTTGATGCTTGGGATTTATCTTTCCCCAGTTGCCCATGTAGTGATATTCAGTGACCTACCTGAGGTATGTGTCTTAACCAGTTCTTGACGGCTGGATAATGGCAAGGCCTAATTGGCTTGGATAATCTCTAGCAAAGAGAGAGCAATTTATGTATGGATTGCAAGTGGAAGTTATTATAAGTGAAAATAGCCAATCTGTAGCTTTACAAAGAGCAGTCCACCTTACATGCAGAGAGTTTCAAATAATAAGTTGTGATTATCAGATAATATACAATCAATAACAGATTCACTGTGGTTAATTGGCACAGAGTGTACATCATTAATGTAGCAGCACAAAGTTTTCAGGTCCCAAGAAGCTAGGTGTTTTGTTTGTTTCTCCCAGGAGAGGGGTGCAAGCAGGTGATAGGCAATAATTGAGTGAACTGGAAGAGATGAAATCAGATGAAACCTACTTACAAAGGCATTGTGAGTTTGTGTCTTCATCCAATAGGCACTTCAAGTGGGAAAGCTCAGCAACTAAGAGGCAAGTGAAAGCACATCTATTTCTTTCTTTATTTTTAAAGGAGAGGGAATGATCATAAGGCAGCAAGTTATTTCTTTGTAGACTTCTTTTTGAAAAAAAAATGTTGGGTTTCGAAAGAAACCACACAAATAATTAGCATACATGGTGTTATGAAGATAGCTGCTGCAAAAATCTATTTCAAGGAGCTTCTAATTGGGTTTTTTTACCAGAATACCATTTGAGCTAGTTTCAGACACTACTTATTTTTTCTTTAGTTTACAATCCTTCCCTTCTGCATCCAAATTGCTCATAGCAGTCTAATGCCAGATCAGCCCTTAAGGCATCAAAGATATTTGTTTTCCCTCCTGAAACCCACAATCAGGCACTTGGCACTAGTGGCTATGTCATACCAAGCTAATTAATAATAACAGACATAATATTGCACCCCCTCTATAAAGGTAGAGGAGAACTAAATCCAGAAAAATGACAGAATGTATGTGCACTACCTGATGAGCTTTTCTTCTTTTGTCTAATTCTTTATTCCCCTTGTTTTGCTTCCTTATGCAATCACTATTAGACAGGAAGCTAGAAGAACTGGAAATTGGTTGAAAGCTTATACTATTGATACTGCGGCAAGTTTTGTCATTGATTTAAATGGGAGCAAACTCAAGCCTTTGGTATTACTCCTAAGAGTCAAGACTAGAATTTTATTTGCACAGATACTGAACAGGTCTTACGATGGATTCTGAAAGGAGAAAGCTCAGGCATTTACAGACGTTTTCACATGTCTTCAGGCACAGATTTCTCAAGCAGTGCCAGGCAGCAGTATTGCAATGCTCTGACAATATAAACAGTCACAGGCAGTTGACACAAAGTCATTTCCATCATTTGCAGGATGTTCAGAAGTAGCAGCATCGAGATTTTCGTTTTCAGGCACAAATTAAATGCTTGATTTTTTAAAAGATGTAAGCAGTATATGCTTACATATCTGAAAATGCCAATTCACTATTTTTAAAGTTATCTCCATTAGCTGATATAAGGTTTAAATTACGTAAGTGTATAATATTTTCCCCACTCTGTTGAAGGATGCGTAGGAACTGAGGAACTACCAGCTCTGCGATACTTAAAACTCCTTCTATTTTTATCCAGAGAAGCCAGAAAAGTTGCAATGGTGAAAGTATAATTATAAATGTCTTTTCCTCTCTTTTTATACCATTTAGATCTCAGCATGAATCAATTCCAAGTCCACTGGTTACTGGAGTCCTGTGCACACAATGACACCAAAGGACTTGGGAAAGTAACTGAGCTGACTTACGTAAGTCTCCGTCCAGCCTTCTGCTTGACTCTGAATAGCTTCTAAGCAGCAAGAGAAAGGATGGTTCTGTAACATAACACAGTATGCTTTATACCGTGTTTCATAGATAAGTAAGAATGTTTCTTTTTTATGTTCCTCTTTGGCAAAAGATAAAAATGATGCATCATCTGGACTGTTTTGTTTGGTGGGTTTTGGTTTTTTTTTTTTAAATCCACACTAGGCTAAAATCTTTTTTTTTTTTGTCGGTGTTATTCAGAAAGCAAGAGCAGGCAAACAAATTTCTTAGCTAAGTACTTATATATTTCTACAGCTCATAGAGCATGAAGCTTTATCTACAATTCATACTGTAGGACTCTAGCACCGTGCAAATACTGAACAGTAATAATAGTAATTAATAAACTAGGTTTTCTTTTAGACATGCAGGTGGGTTTCACAACCCTGAGGAGAATAATAGAATAAGAAAAAAGGACCGTAGGTGAAAAATATTCGACATTAAATCTGGAAGTCAGATAGATATCAGATAAGGAAAAAAGCTCTATGTAAGTACATGTCAGCCCAAATATATATCGTAGTGGCATTTCTTCGTACTCAATTTGTTTGCAATCTGGTGTCATCCATCTCTGTAACGCATTATTTGAACAACACAGTAATGCGATTGGTACATCACAATTGATTTAGTGGGTTATGGAGAATGGAAGAAATCACAATTCACCTTTCCTTCTTGCCCTGACCTGTACTACTGGATCAATTCGGTGGAGTTAATGGCACGTAAAAGTAGAGTAAATCAAAAGACATAATTTCTCATACAGAAGGCTGTTAGCTTGTAAGATTTACTGCTTCATGGGGTCAGCAAAGCAAATATTAGAGATCGATTAAAAAAATGATTGTGACATAATGTAATGATCAGTCCCAATATTTCAAGTTATGCACACTGAAGATAGGAGAAAGTTAACATTTAAGAAGTTTATTTCCACTAGAGGTCAGGAATGACTCTTTGTACATCTGCCCAAATGCATTGTGGTATTAGTTCATTTATTTCCTCTCAATCATCTTACAGTAATTGGTCCAATCTACTGTGGGAAACTCTGTGTTTCTTTTGAGGAAGAAAATAATTACAAGCAAACAGAAGAAGGTTGATGCTACAAAAGGTTTGGTACTGAATATGATAGGTCAAGGTAGATAAAGGCCTTACGTTTCCAGTGTTGAGCATTTAGGCCCTGTCACAATAACTAAAACTAGTCCTGTCACAATTTTAAGCAGAAGTCAAGCCTATTAGAGCACTCTCCCGGCAGGCGGAAGGCGGGGAGCCAAGTCCATTCTCAGCCCAATCTCTATGTCCCGTCGAAAATGACCTTCCAAGTGAAGGTTAGACTAATCCAGTTTGGGATTAGGAAAAAGAGGGAGTCATGCAGAAGAACGCTGGAAATTATTGATTTGGAAGGGAAGTAAAGATCTAAAAGGCAGTGAAAGACTTTTGACCTTAGCCAGTAAGGTATGCTTTTCTCATATATGATTTGTGCTAAAGCTTTCAGGCTGTGATTTTCAAAATTACTTTTGACAACAGTAAGAATTTAGCAGGACACTTAGACTTTGTGTAAAGTTTTCTTCTCCAATCATTGTCTTTAAACAGAGAATTGTGCTTTGTAGTTCAGCTGTGGAGCTTTTCTTCCTGATAAGAAGGTAGAAGTAGTTAATGTACTAAAGCTGAAAAAATAATGCCATTGCTGTACTTTGAATGTGCTTTTAAAAAGTTAAATGTAGATGAAGCCTGTCATTTACAGCAGTTTAACTCAGCTTTCTTTCATTTATTTAATTTGATTAGTATTTACATCCTCACATTGCTACCCCCATTGCCATCATGTCAGAGAGACTGTTCTAAATGTTAGAAGCCAGTTGCTTTGATGCAGCGTGGTGAAGGAACTCTGTAGAATTGAAGGACATATCCAAATACCATGCTAATATATTTTGCTACTGAAAATAATCATAACATAGGCAATGTTTGCTTTGTTCTCTGAGTAAAAGCCATGTTGGCATGTGTTAAGCATATCAGGACAATATTTTATTGGACAAAACTTTTCATCTTCTGCCAACCTAATTTTTCAATTTCTATTTTTTTTTCTAGAGGTCTGTTTGCAGCATGTGATCTTCTTGTTTTTCTTCTAGGAAAACTACATGATTCTGAAGGATCTGTCATTTTCATGCAAATATAAAGTAACTGTTTTGCCTGCAAAATCTAAAGGTCGTTATAAAGCTGAGAGTATTTTCTTTGTTACCCCACCTTGCTCTGCATTTAAAGAAAAAAACCACAAGCACATTAATTGTCCTGCTGAAGGAGGTAAGGCATGATCTAGAGAAGTAGCCAAATAGTTTCACATGCATTTATAATCACAAAAAAAAAAAGTCTTTAAGAGCAATTCTAAAATGGGAAATGAAAGATTCATAACAAATAAAAATATGACTAATGCTTATGAGAAAAAACAACTAAAATACAGAGCAGTATAGATTTTGGCTACCATGTTACTATTTTGTCAATAAGGTGATAATTTTAGTGGCTTTTTTTTTAAAAAAAAATGACATTTGTTATTACAGAGTTTTTATTTTTGTAAGGAGGAACGGTTTCCCAGTTATATTCATTATAATGACAGATGATAACTGTAAACATAATTATGCTGGCATGACCCATCTTTTGAATGTTTTGCTACTGATTCAAGCTGCTTTTTCAGTTTGATTTTGTTTAGGTTAATTCTGCTCTCAATTAACAAATAAAGGCACTCTTATACCTTTTACAGTGTTGCCATGATGGTAGGTATAGCTAGAGGGTTACAGAAAATTTCAGAATCATGGAGATGTTGGTTGGTAAGGACCTCTGGGGTCAGCTAGTCCAGCCGCCCGCTTGAAGCAGGGCTGTTTGTCAGCACTAGGTCAGGTCAGCCGTGGCTTTGCACAGCCAAGTCTGGAAACATCTCTCTTCAGCCAGAGGGTGACCCTCTCACTTTGAGTCCCTGCTGTCCCCACGGGTACTCCCGTGCTTTGTGTCCTGCTGGCCATCATTGCCATTTCCTGACCGCCCCTCTTGGCAGTTTCCAGCATTACAACCTTATTCCTGGGCTACTGCAACTCAGGCATATGTTTCCCCTAATCAGAGTGCCCCTATTAACTTGTACTACAGTTTTAGAGCATTAATTTTACTTTTTGCCTGCATCATGGAGTTCTGTGCTATCCTGTGGGTTTTCTTGTGGTCCCAAAATTGGAAACTGGAGCTTAGGCATTCTGAAATACAGAGGAGCAGCAGAATGGTTGCCTGTGAATGAAGCACTTATGCCTTTACATGCCATAGGCTTTCCTTTCTGTCGCCTGCAGCTGACAGTATTTGATTTGAAGTTTAAATTTGGCACAAAATGCCAAGAGAATATATCAAAGACAGACTTTGGTTCACAGTGAAAATGCGATGGCAGAAAGCTGTCAGGATCCTGGGTAACACCAGAAAGAGAGCTCTGTCTGACCTTGATTTGTGGAACAATATGAACATTATTGAACATTATCTCTCAAAGTTTAGCTTATCTTTTTGCTTTCCAAATTTATAGTGCCAGTTCTACCCAAAGTGTTGGCCAAACCCGAGAATCTATCTGCGTCTTTCATTGTCCAGGAAGGTAACATCACTGGTCATTTTTCCTGGAAGATATCTAAGGCAGACCTTCACCAGCCCATGACAGGGTTTCAAGTCACTTGGGCAGAAGTAACCACAGAAAGCCGGCAGAACAGCTTACCCAACAGCATCATTTCGCAGTCGCAGATACTGCCAGCAGTAAGTTGTTTGTTACTTTCCTTTGCTAGCGGCTTCATAAGTGTGTGTGTATGTGGCCTATTTTTAATGTTTAGTGGTGCTGCAGATGTCACACATAGCGTTCTCTGGCTCTGCAGGCAAATTGGAGCAGGAAGTGCTTAATTTTTCCTCCTTGCTGGAGAAACAAAGCACAGCTACTCTTCTTGATGACACATCAAACATTTTAATGTTCACAATTGTCAAATTAGCAACCATTGTCTGAGAAATGCCTGAAGGGAGGAAAAGATCATCTGTGTGGTAATAGTTTTTATTTTCTTTTGATGATCAGGCTGTTCAACTTGGCGGTTACTATAGTTTTACTAATTATTTGGTGTCCAAGTCGATGGATTTAAGAGAATTTTCTCTTCGAGTCATTCATTGCTCTAAGAAAAATAAAAATCACTTCCCCCTCTGCCAATACGCACCATTGTCCAGCAGACAAATAATTAAAGGGTAACTAGGTTTCACTGTTTATTGAAAGTGTGAGAATTAACAATTTGAATTCTTCCCCCTATTTGCTTTAAGGTGGCCTTTGCTATTTCAGTTCCTCCTCTGGCAGAGGCAGGTGAAGAGCACTTCATTCAGACTCTGTTGCCAGATCCACCAAAGTCAACAAAAGGGCTTAAGCAGCTGGCCTTGATCCAAAGTCAGCTAACAATGTTGGGAGTCTCTCCATTCACTTCAGGGAAGTGGGTCAAGGCAATTGTGTCTAGAGCAGAGCTGACTGAAAATCTTTTCACAACATTCGTTTCATCAAAGAATGCGTAAAATGTTTTGTTGGACACATCTTACATTCAACACGTTTCCACAAATCCAAGGCAAGGTTCTCACCGTTCTGTCTTAATTCCTAGTGGACTGACCTAAGGCTAGGGCACCCGTGTTTCAAAGCCTGTTGTTTTGGGAGAGAGCAACAAAGTTGACCGCGGATGCTCTAAAACTATGGGGCAAGCTACCACGCAGCGTGCAGAGCTGTTTTGTTGCAGCTTAATACAGACTTGGTGTGATCTGCACCAATTCACTCAAAGCTCGACCCACAGTCCAGAGCGGAATCACGGTGCAGATACAGCCGTGGTCTCTTCAGCAAGCCATGTTGCAAGATTACCTGAAGTGGTTACTCAGTCACAGACCTTTGGCTGCAAACAGCCACTTTAGCACAATGATAAGCAAAGTTACAGACCATGAGATGTTACTTTTCACTTCAGTTTTCATCTCTTTTTTTAGGAGCGGGCATACGTTTTATTCAGAATTTCTATTCCTTTTTTTAAGCTTTTGGTCCAGTTAGGTCTGAAATATAGATAAAGTTTTATTTAAAACACTCCTTTGCATTGTGTTATGCTTTAATTTTTTATCTTTGTTTTCCTCTGTTTTCACTACTGTAGAGTCTGGAGATTCCTTTTATTTAATTATCTATCACTATATGTACCTCTCTGTCCATTTATGGCAACTGGTTAAGAAAACTCTGGTTTGAGCTGAAACAGTATCTCCTACCTCTCAGAAACCACCAGAATGCAGGGTATTTTATGGTGAGGATCATTCATTCATTCTCATTGGTAGCCTCTGACTGATAAAAAATTAATATTTACACAGTGGAGGCTGAAACCCACAGGTCCCAACTGCCGGAGGAGTGCCTGAATGAGCAGCGTGAGTGTATGAGTGCAATGTAGGCACTCCTCTCTCTCCCCGACCCGTTCAGTATGTTACACGAGGTGGAACAGCTTCAGCAAGGTCTATTAAGAGCAGCCCCATCTCAGAAAATGCGCTAATTTGGCAGTAAAACTACACATTTCCCCCTACCTTTTCTCTCTCTCTTTTCCCCTTTACTGTCTGCTCTGGCAGCAACAGCAGATTTTCAGTTATTCCCACAGCCCGCCTAGGTCCCCCTGCATGGTGCTGGGTGCAGTGCCAGCCAGGGAAACTTGCCCTGCAAATTCCTGGCTGGCCCAGCCTGGCTGGTTGCAGGAGCACACTGTGCCCGCACTGCTGGTGTCACTGCCCAGCTGTCCCCTTCCTGGGACTGGTCCTTTTCAGCTTGGAATAAGGTGAATCAGGACTTCTGATCCCTTAATGCCCTTCAGTCTTTAGTTAGATGTATTCCCATTTGGGAGCATTTATAAACTTACTCTGAAATTATTTTTCACAGGTGTAAGTGACCATGCAAGGTATGGAGCAGTGAAAATTGAGGGCATCATGCCAAAAACGGGACTAAGAATAGAAGGGCAGCTTCTCATGGTGTAATTGGGACAAATATGCTGAAATCTGCATAACCACCCTTATTTTCACTAGCTGCAGCAGGGGGCCAGACGTGCGAATTGCCATGAATTAATTTACCAATTAGTGGAATTCACAGACAGATCCAAAATAAAAACAAGTTTACATAATGAACATGTTTGTTTATTAAAAAGAATGATTAGGAAGTTAATTTTATTGGGTTTTCAGTGATGAACACATCATCCATTTTCAAGAACACTAAGGAACAACTTGGACCTCTTACACATGAAACCGTAACATTGTGGTAAAAAAGTATGCTCAAAGGCAATGGCAAGCAAAAAATTCAGAACAAACCCTCTCAACAAAGTGATGCATACGTTAAATCCTTTTAACAGAATTCTAAGAAAATAATCTGTGGATGCTGAGTGACAGAACCTGTTTAAACCACTGCTTTCTGTGAGTAGATCAACTATGTTTTATTTTTAGATGCTCTGAAAATTAACGCGATTTATTTATTTTCAGGATCATTATGTACTTACCGTGCCCAATTTGAGGCCATCGATGCTGTACCGCTTGGAAGTTCAAGTGCTGACGACTGGTGGGGAAGGGCCAGCTACAATAAAATCGTTCCGAACACCCGACCTTCCTCCATTTTCACCCCACAGTAAGTAGTACCCCATTTTGACATGTGGTTACGTGTTACAGAACTTCAGTCCTCCACATGTAAACAGTTAGCTTGGGCCTTAGAGTCTTTATTGGTTACAGTAGCATTCCATGAATTTAAGATGCATGAAAATACTGTTTTTTCCCCCCCGTAACTGTCCATCAGCAATGATGGAAGCAAATGCAGTCTTTCTCTCACTCAGTTTCTGTGGTCTGACATTTGCCATTCATTCCACCACAGCTCTTTGGCTTATGCCTATAGCACCTGGGATTCAAAGATGGTCTGTCCTCCAAGTACTGCCTAGGCCTGGGATTGCTTAGCTTTCAAGATTAGATTTTTCTGGGTGCATTCAGTCCAGCATGGCTAGAGCCTGATCATATCTCTAAAGCAGTGCAGAACTCTTAATGGCCATTTCCAGCATTTTATAAGTTTCTGAAAAGTACAGCTCAATGTTGCGAAGCTCAACAAAAAGTATAATGAATTAGTCCAAGATTCATCTGCTTGAATCCTTTTGTCCTTTCACAGTCACTAAAGTTGTCTGGACTGGACATGCACATAGTTGTCGGCCCAGGCAGTTCACTTACAAGCTGAAGGATTGCAAGCTGAAGGCTTCACGAAGACTTTTTAGTACGGATAAATGATAGCGTTACATATTCAGGGTTTGATATGTGCATATTTTCCTACTCTTTTGTTTAGGACCTCATCTGAAACAACTTCATCCACATCACTACAAGGCACCCCCAGAGAAATATTAGACTGTTTCAGATGATTATGCAAATAACTGAGAGACAAACTGAGCTCCCAAATGGAGGCTAGGAAAAGGCACATCTGTAGGAGCAATGAACACAGTTTTCCAGTGGAAGTCACCATCCTGTACGATTTGTATCTACTTCTCTGTAGTTTAGCCATGACGAATTGTATTTGCACCAAGGCCAGGATGAAACATACAGCAAGTATCATTTCAGTACCACCACTATTCAACAAACTGAAGATCGCATCCAACTCAACGCCTGTGAGAAAATCAAAAATGCGTTCATTATAATGTTTTTGTATTTCTGTGTTTAAAGTAGATTGAAACGGTGCAGTGTATACAGCTTTTTCTCTTAGTGACTTCAACATTAATATTTGCAAGGTTGTCCCGTGATGTATACGTACTTTTGAACACCGAAGGCCACGTTCTTATCAGCGTGTTTAATGATCTATTTTACTTAAAGCTCTGCCTGTCACCAGTTTAAGCCCTAGTGTATTTTGCTATTAAAGATCTCCAGATGTCTGAAATAAGGACATAAGTAAAATAAATACCAGTAGCAGAAACCCTAAAATAGTCAGTATTTAATAATTGCAGTATCACCACAGAGGAGAATGACGATACATTTGTATCAACCATCTGTTCTGAAATGGTAATGTTTTAGCATGTAGATCTTGTATTAACATAGTTAATAGCTAAAAAATATGCAGGGTAGATGTACCATTGTAAAGAAACAAATGGCAAATAACAGAATTGTTGAAAATCTATGGCAATTAATACAATTAATTGATAGGGCTTGGAAGAATGACTTTTAAAATCCCACTTACAATTTTTTCATATATAATATTTCAAGGTATAATAATATCTTGAAATGAAACACCAATTTTCTAGTTAAAAATCTGCATAGTTAACATGAACATTTTAGAAATTGAAATTCTGAGGCACGTTTATTATTCAAGTAGCCGTAGAGCTACTTTTTGGCTTTGGCTTTTGATGCATGTATCTCTTTTCCCTGTGGATCTTTTGAACAGAAGGATGGATGTATTGGCTCCATGCTATTCTGCTTACAGAAAGAATTATGTGACAATATTCTGGCATCTGGAAAACATTGGCTTATAGTTTATTTGAATGCATTTTTCAAATTTAGACAGAAGGGTGCCCTTTTTAACCATAAGGGAATTCATATTGCCTTATTGTGCAATATAAACTGTCTAGAATAATTTGCCACACAGAGAGACATCCTTCCATAGTAAACAGAAACTGCTTGGATTTATTATCGAGAGGGTGGAAAGTATCTGCCAATAAACGTCCATACAAATACTCATAATCAGCTTCTCATGTTCAAGATGTTCAAAGTGCTCCTGCATTCTTTGGCACAGTTTCCATTGCTCCCTGAACCATCATATGATGAGGCTTAGTAGTCAAACTTGACAAGGTGGCCACATTTTCTACCAGCAGATGCTAAAGACTCACCTGTCCTTCTTATTTGCCTGAGATATTCAGTGAGAGGAGCTCAGACATCAGTGCTAAATATATTTTCCTTCTCCTGATGACAAACAGTTTTGGGGAAGGCAAATATGGAGAAAAGAAATACATACCTGAAACTGAGGATCAGAGTTATGTTTATCATAGTAGAGCATTCACAAAGTATTCAAATACAGTTTGTCTATACTGAAATTTATAGCTTTTTGTTCCATGGAGGTTGATACCACAAGGAGTGAAGGAAACTGAATTAATTTCTGATCATTTGCTCATTCCAGTTTTCCTACATTTCTACCTTCGGTTTTAAAGGGCTCTTTTTTGCCATTCTCTTTCTGCTTTGCTTGTTGTCTTTTTTCATATGCACTCAGTGACCAAGAACTTTTCCAGAAAATTTCTATTGCTACATGGTTTGGGCCTTTAACAGTAGTTTTAAAAATGTTAAAGGCTATGGTGCTTTTAATTCCTTCCTCTATCACTCTGTCATCTCCCCTTTTCCAAAATACATTAGCAAATAAACAGATGAACTCTTCTTCAGCTTTGCTTGTTGTCTTTTTTCATATGCACTCAGTGACCAAGAACTTTTCCAGAAAATTTCTATTGCTACATGGTTTGGGCCTTTAACAGTAGTTTTAAAAATGTTAAAGGCTATGGTGCTTTTAATTCCTTCCTCTATCACTCTGTCATCTCCCCTTTTCCAAAATACATTAGCAAATAAACAGACGAACTCTTCTTCATAAAATCTGTAGTATAAAGGTTTATTTTCAATTTTGGAAGAAGGCCAGAGTCTCAGAGACTTTTGTCAGGATGGAAATGTTTCATGTGTACAAGTCTTTACAAAGAAAACACAATTTGAATCAGACCAGCGTGCAGCACTGCTTTGACATTTAGATTGCACAGGGCATCGGTAAAACTAGAAGTGATCTCCGTGGTGTTTGCTGAGAGGAGGAGTCAGCGGGATCAGGGAAAGTAATTACCCCAGGCTTCTCTGAAAACTTCTGTACAAACCTTTCAATCACAGTCTATTCTAGTTATGCTGGAGCAAATCTGTAGTGACTTGATTAATGTTAATGAAATTATGTTTCATTTATAGTGACATGGTAAAGCATAGAACATGGATGTCGGTCTTTATTACAATGATGCCAAATCTGGCTTGGACATAAACTGGAAGTTAGTAACCCTGAGCGATCATACCCTTAGTCTTGGTTTCTGAGGGGGAGCCTCATTCTTCTGAAATGAATCAAAGTGGTTACTGTTTGCTGATGCCAGTCTCTTTGAAGCATTCAACTTTTAAAAATAACAATGTACTTTTGAAGAGCATGGAGGGGTTTTCCCTTTTAAAGTAGATTCTGGATATAAAAAAAAAAAGTTGATAGAGTAGAATTGTATTGAACAAGCGTATTATATAGAGTCCACTAAGATGTAAATTATTTTTTTCCTTCTACAAATCAGCTTATCAACTCACCTTTAAAGTCACCCTCCAAATCAAAAATGAAAAATACAAGGTCAACAAAGCTCACACATGGATGTTAAATTTCCAACTGTGAGTGACTTCCTGATTATTCTTTGAATTTAGCAGTATAGATTTGAAGTTGTTGGTGCCTAATTCATAAAGCCTTGTTTGCTGAATTGTACAGGGTATTGTCCTAATTTACTAGCCTAAGTCACATTAAACATTTAATTCAGCAATAGAGTTGTAATTCACTACTTGATTCGCTAGTTAAAGATTTATTTTCTCTAATGATGTTGTGTAATACAGAGTTAATATAGACATTGGGATGTTTTTAGATACTCTGCACCTTTACACTAATGTATTATTTGCTATGTATGATTCTGATGGTTTTGACAGATGACTTCAGGATGCATTTTGTTTATCTTTATTTCTTAAAGGAGAATTATAAGATTATGCCGTTTTTGCTAACTGCTTTGTGAAGTGGACTTTTTTTTTGTTCATCGGTAATTTTTGTTTAAGAGAATGGTTTGTTCTTGTTATCTCTTTTTTGACCATTTCTGAATTGTTTATAGAGCAGGAGAAATTCAAATAAGACAGAGCTTGTGATGTACTACTATGTGTATCATCCTGAATATTCATTAAGAATATAGCTCACAGACAATAAATAAGAGGTCTGACTTCTGAAATGCTGAACATCCTCAACTTAGTGGCTTCAGAAAGAGCTGAGGACATGGTGTGGCAATGCTAACATTGACATTAATGTTTGGCATGGTCACACACAAAATCAAAGAAATACTCATTGCTAATGTGAATGGGAATTTTACCGTTGGCATTAGCAGAACTGTATAGAAACCTAAATACTGAGTCAATTTATTCCACAATACTTTCATCTCCATGCTCCCAGCTGGAGTCAGGGAGAGTTTCAGATAAGCAGGCCCTGATTCAGGAAGGTATGCAGAAGAGGAAACTTCCATATGCACAAAAGAAGTCAGTGGGATGGAAGTAAACCTAAGAATGAGCTTTAGTGATGTCTCGAATAAAGCATGGATGTCAAAATTTTCTTGAATACTGTCTTAAATGAGGGCCTTATAGAACAAAGTATGGAACCCAGGCAGTTCTAAATTCCGTGTACAACACCATAAAAAAAAATATTTTTGTTCTGTGTATATGTAAATGTAGTTGTGATATTGACTTATTTATTAATTCATTTTCTTATACTATGTGCCAAGTATGTTCCTACCCTTTTGATCAGTACCTGTGAACATCAATTACTAAGAATAATGTTATGCAAACTTGTGCATTGTAACCAGGAATATGATGCTAATAAGCTGTTGCATGTAGTTTTAAAAAATTAAGAAAACCCTTTATTTAAAAAATGTAAATGAATACCTGCAGATGTTGATGATTATATATGGTTTTGCATGCCAAAACTCATTGTTCAGTTGTGGGCATGAAATGTAACGACTGTATTACCTCTACTGAATATATTAGTAAGGTACAATTTACAAAGTAATTAACAGAGCTCTATATGTAAAATTTTTCCTTTTTACTTAATTATATTGTAGTAGAGGTAACAGAACTGCTTCTCTGTTACCCAAATTGGCTGTAGAAATTATGTTCCCATAACACTCATTTAAAGTCAATATTTATTTATGTATGTAATACAGAAAGATTGGTCTTATGTGTCTGTCTTGTTATTTAGAGAACAAAAATACACTTCTTGTAAAAAATAATTTGTAAAAAAATGTAAATGTAAATAGAGTCTGATTCCTTTTACTCATTATTTTCATGTTTAGAATTTGTACATACTGTTTAGGTAATAAACTATCCTACGTTGAAATCTTGCTACATTATCTCCTCCATACAGAATTTATAGTTTTGTTTTTCTTAAGTAGAAGACATAGTCATCTAAGAAAACTCAATGTCACGCCAAGTACCTTTGCTACATTTACATTTCATTGTGTATAAAGTCATACCATTTTATCCTCCGTTTACTATAGCGTTTTGTTTTCTTTAGAAGGTGATCCAAATAATCTGAAAATAAATTTAGGTATCATTTGCTTCTTTTACATTGAAAAGCAATCCTTGAAGTAAAAAATTAGACTCAAGAACTTGCCATCTCTTTCTCTGTTTTAATGGAATAGTTCACAGTGAAGATTTGTTCACCCTTTGTAATACTAACTTAAAATAATTAAAATGTTGCTGGATCTATGTCAGCAGCCTGATCCTGCAAGTCAAGATTTTCATGACTGAAAATAGTGGTGAAATCTATGTATACACCAGATTTGGA